GGTTGATTGCCTAGAGCCTCCGCAACCTCGAACTACGCAGTTGTGTAGGGTAGGTATTTGGCAAATTTCCTTTGGGCTGTGCCCAAATCGTCCCGCATCTAAGATCTTTAAAGCAATGGCTGTGCGAGCGGTACAATGAAAATCTAGGAGCCGCCCTGGTCCCCATCTTCTTGCCAACAGTATGAAAACATAGCTCAACCGCAGACTAAAAAGCATCTGAGGAAAGCATACGGAGCTGCGGAAAATTCGCGCTTCCGGGAGGAGGTTACAAAGCTTGGAGGCAGGCAGATTTCAACCTACAATTCTTCGCTTTTTGGGTTTGGAGTAGATATTCACCATGTTGCACTTGACCTTTACAGACGTACCGCCGAACCGTCCGTAACTAAAGCTTCCAAAGGCTTCTAAAGCATGAGGGAGCACAGATTTGTTGTCAGCCGTTTCAGAACATGTTTCTTCACCTTGTTGGCAGGAAGCCCTGCTTTCAAACTATGACCCAACGAGATTCCAATCCTTGTTTTGTGACAGGTTTTGTGGAGCTTGTTGGGCGTGACTGTTCGGGGGTTCTCTGTTCAGCAGCTAATGACATTGGGGGTTGGAAGTGTGAGTGCCTCACAGCGGTCAAGGGCTCTTCCTGTGCGATAGGAAAAACAGACGAACCCACGATGACAGAGCAAGAGTGTGGATTTCCTCATAGCAAAGAGCCCCCAGAATCCTACATACCCGAAAACCACGCCCGGGCAAGTTTCTGAAAGCCCTGGAGGCAAACAGATGTACCCGTTTCTTGTAGACGAGCGCCCCGGCTGATATCGTGGCAGGTGCCCACTTTTTTGAAACCCAGGCTAGAGGAAACTACTTTGAAAGCGGTTACTACACTGTGGTGCGACCTTGGGTACATTACTTGCCCCAGAACCCCTCTAGAATGCTTGAAATGATAACCCCTACATAATCGGTACATAGCAGCCATAGAATCCCTGTATATCCCCTGTATATGCCATATACATATCACCCTTATATAATCCCTATGTAAGCTCTAGGGTTCTTCTGACTCATGAAATGGACCGTGCCGTCTTTCCTGGACATGGAGCCCCCTATAGGTAGGGAACAACTCAAGCAATAATCAGCAGGGTTTAGGGTTTGGGGTTTATAAGGTGCCTACAGTTTCTCATATTACGGGTACCATCACAGAACACAAGCCTTAAACCCTGAAGCCTAAATCCCAAACCATAATCCAGATTGTACGACTGAGGAACACTGGTGTTCGCATGAACGAGTCTGCAGAGATCAATGCCTACCTGTGGAAAACCTATGGATCTGAGGTGGGTTTGGGGTCGATCAGGGGTGTTTAAGGCCTAGGGTTTTTTGCGGTTTTAGGGGTGGGGCGCGGGATTTAGGGTGTTCAGAGGGTGTGGTTTTTTTGGCAGTTTAGAAGTGTGGGGTTTCAGGGCTTCGCAATTAGAACTTGGATTACAGGTGTTCAGGTCTTACTGCGCGTAAGTTCCAGGCTTATGAACAGTGTATACGAGGCTGGCGTGATCAATGTTGCGGTGATCAACATCGTGTATTCCTGCTTTCATACTCGTTTCCGTACTGGGCAGCTATGAGGCATTATCCGTCTGGGGTTGGAAGGAACTGGCTTTGACGCTTAGAGAATGAGAGGTGCTCTCATGCAGTGGGCTTTCTCCTGCCTGTCCGATTCCCAGCAGTTGGCCCTTGATTTGAAAAGGTTTTCGTGTGAGCTATGGTCTAGACTCCTAGTATTCCCCGTAATAGGCCCTCTAGTAGTAGTCCCTTTTGTAAACCCATATATCAACGCCCTTTAAGGAGTTTAAACTCTAGGGCATGTGTTCTCTGTCGCTGGTATTCAGCAAGCTAACTTGGAGTAGCAGGGGAAAGGCCATTTTACTTAGCCCTGCGCCCTCACCTGCATCCTCGACCCTACGCACACCCCCTCAGCCCTCCCGCCTACACCCCTACAGAACTCTAACTCTATATACCATTTTCGGACCCCATATACCCCTACAGAACTCAGTCAAATCCTCATACAACCCTATATACCCCACAAAACTCTCGTTACCCTTATAGAACCCTATAACCCCCTTTTGAATTTCACAATCCTAATCCTATATACACGTATAGCACCCCAAACACACCCCTATCATTTTTGCCAACCTTAAACCCTAAACCCTAAACCTAAAAGCATCAGTGGCCTTTAATCCCCAGCTGAAGCTTGCATCAGAAAAGTTGCGTGGGGTTGTTTTAAAAAAACCTTTAAACTTCGACAAAACCTTAAACCCTAAACCTTAAACCCCAAACCCTAAACTTCGACAAAGGCTACCATGCCATGGTCCTACTGGCTCGGCAAGAAGCTGGCTTTTCCCCCGCTGATGTTCTTCCCCGCGCTCGCCCGCCCTTCGTAGCCTGGTTTTTGTTTGCTTGGGAGGTTGGTTTGGGGTTGAGGGGAGTTTATGGGGCGTCGGAGTTTTGGGATAAAGGGTTGGTGGTTAGGGTGGGGATTCGGGTTTGGCTCATGGTATTAAGACTTACGGTAGGGTTTTGGAAGTAGAGGGTTTGGAGTTCAGGGTAGGTGGACTACGGCTAGGATTTAGGCCCTTCAAGGCATTCAGATGCCTGCATGGTGGTCCCGCCCAAATCAACGTCAATGTATCTCCTGCACGAAGACTTGGGTCATCCAAACTGGTAGCACATGCTTCGTGTTTTCTGGTACAAGGAGCTGTCAAATCAGGTTTGAAGACGTATGCCTTGTTCCATTCAAGCTGCCCGCAGCTTCTGAAAGTGGATCTCGTAGTACAGGGACGCCACTTGAAACATTACAGCAACCTTGACAAGCTACTGGGACCTCAAGAGGCCGAAAGTGACGCTTCTTTTTGCTGTATATATATACACATGTATACATGCCAAGGCCCTAGCGAATCTCATATTCGTCGTCTCAAAGGGCAGCTCAGCAACTGGATGCGACTTTCTCGCAATATCTTGGCTGGATTCGCTGCCTATCATACAAGACATCCCTGCCCTGAGGGCACCTGACAAGCTTAAAGAAACATTACATGATCCCGGTTATACCAGAATCTGTTCCAAAGCCCTACGCGAGTGTACGCCCCCTCTAGTCCCCAAAATCCTTGGCTAAACCCTGGACCTTGAGCCTCAAATCCTAAAAAGGCTGACCCACGGCGTGCTCAGGGTGCCCAGAAGCTTGGTCTGCAGTAGCCCTTCAGGGTTTGCCCCTACCTGGGCCCCAACAGTATGTAAAATAATGGCCTTTATGGCTATTATTCTGGATTTGGGGCTATTATTTTACATACTTTTGGTAGGGGTACTTACCCTCCATAATAATGAACGCCCACAACACCAATATTGAGTGAGGGTTTCTGAAAATTAGGGGCCCAGTTTGAGAGTGCCTAGAACAGGAACTGTAGCATATTGGGATCCAGTGTGAGCCCCCCTTTGTTGTGGAAAACCCCAATTACCGACCAGTATAGCCGTGGCAAGCCATGGCAACCCGAAGACTGCTGCGAGGTGGTCCTTGTAGCGCCCCTTGCAACAGCGCATTGGGGTTAGATTAGGGTTACATCGGGGTTACATTGGGATAATGGAAAACAAGATGGAAACTACTATTTAGGGTTTAGGAAATTGAAATATTGCGTGTATTGGGCCAAACAGACCTCCCCAAAGTATGGTCTCCCATTCTGCGCGGTGGCAGACCTCCAAAAGCCTTTTGGATCCCCAGGATTACGCATGCAGAAGCCGCCCTCTAATCTCCGTAGCATATGACCCAAGCACCCAGGCCTGCAACTGAGGCCATCCTGATGTGAGAAACTGCCAACCCGAAACTTTGTGTGTTCCATGCATTTATAGAAATACATATACATATATATATATGTATATACACATGTAAACCGATACATATCGATACCTATCCCCGGAACCTTTTAAATGGGCCGAAACGGACGGTGCCACATTTTCAGAAACCCGAAGCCACTTCGAATCCCTATAACTGCATTGAAGGGACCTTGGGGGTGCCGCTACTTCAAGAGACCCGGAATATTTATGTGTACACACACATGTATATATATATATGCATATAATGTGTATACCCCAGATAGTAGCATCCCCCTCATCGTAGGCAAAGCCGCAGAGAAGCCTTTGGAGTGGCTTGTCTGCACTTCAGAGGTTCAGCGGTAGCTATGAGCGTGCGAACATGTGTGTAGATATTTGTACGTGTATATATATATATGTGAGCTATAGTCTAAATTCCTTAGGGGGGGTGATCCAGGGATCATATAGGGGAGACTTAAAGGGCTTTATTCAGGGGGATACTAGGAATTTACATTATCGCACATACATATATATGTGTATAGATGTTTTTTTGGGGGGGTGCTGTAAAGGTCGGTGCTTGTAAAGGAAGGCCCATTCAGAAGACACCACTTCCTAAAAAGAGGAGCCTAAGCAAAAGGGGAACCTACTTTGCAGCCAGTTTCGGTACAGGTAGTTTGAACAGCTACCATACACACATGTATATGTAAATATATATATGTACATACATAAGCAGGGTTTATGGTTGAGGGAATCGTGGCCTTTTTTTGGGGGGGGTGTTTCCAAGCAGGATTCCCAGAATGATTCTTCTACTCCAATATCATCCCTAGCTTTCTCTAGGCTTTCAGCCCCCAATCTAGACATACAGTAGCCTGGATTTGCCTGCTAGTTATTGAGGCCCAGAAGATTACCTAAACCCACAGTAATCCTTACAATCCCCTATAGCAGCCTTACACAACCTAAACCCCCCAAATTCCTAAATACCACACCCTAAACCCCTAAACCTTAAACTATCAAAACATAAGCCCTAAAACGCTAAACCCTATACACCCCCTTACGAAGCTATAGTCCCCCTTAAGTAGAAAGAATATGGGGTATGTGGGGAGCTTTTATACTATACCCAAAGCCATATTCTATCTACTTAAGGGTGACTATAGTGCTGAGCAAAGGCTTTGGGGCTGCGAGGGCTCACCTTTCGTACGCCTCGTGCGCGAAGCGCTCTGCTGCCTCGAGCTGCCCTACGCTCCCCGAAGCACATGCAGGACTTCGGTTATGTAACTATTACATTTTAGGGCTTAGGGTTCAGGGTTTAGGAGTTTAGGGTATTTAGGGTATTTAGGGTTTAGGGTTCAGGGGTACCACCCCAAAGATGTTGAGTCGAAAAACATGCACCATGCTGACTTGACAAGGGTCATGAGGTCGGGGGAGACAGGCTTTGTTTCAATGGTCTCATTATCTCCTGTTTCCTAGTGGGGCCAACGTCTCAAACATCTTTGTTGGCTTAAATCCTAAAATACCAAAAAAGCTACCATCGGATTGAGTGTGTCGGCAGCCCTAGGCCCTAACGCTGTAAACCGTAAACCCCAAGCTGTATGGCTTGACATCCTAAAAGCCGCATCCCACCCAACCTAGCCATGTTGACACCTGGCCGGCCTCCATACTTAAACCCCTCCTCTTCATAATAAAACCTCCACCCCCCGCCCCCCCCAGGCTGAATATTCCCGTTGCGGCATAGTTTTTATATAGGGAATCTTCAGTATTAGGGAAAACAGGGGTCTTGAAAATTAGGGGGAGGTGATTACAAGCCATTGTGCATTGTGTTGGCGATGGTGCTTGCAGTCATGTCTCTGAAAAGGAGGGTTAACATTTGCGATACGAAGGTCGTACTCTAGCATCATATGCGTTATAGTCAGACTGTCATCCCAAACCCTAAATCCTGCGGTTTAGGGTTTAGGGTTTAGGGCCTGAAGCTTAAATGCCTCAACCTTACCTCAACCCCAACGACTCAAACCCTAAACCTGTAATCTCGGACCCTTAGGTTCTTCGGAACGTCCCGCATGGCGAGGTGGGGGGGATTGCTGCCCTGAACAGCTGAAATTCCATGCAAGGAAGAAAGTACCCCCGAAAAGACTTAGGGCTTAGGGTTGAGGGGACCAACAAGTTAAGTCCAATGAGCAGAAATCATCCAATGACCAGAAATAACCAGAACCCCAGGTCAAGAACCGCACGGAATTTCGGGAGAAGTATGGTCATCTTCTTTCTACGGCCCGCAACGCGGTGGGCGCGGTTCAGATGCCTTTCCTCCGGGACCCGAACACGGGCATGGACATCCTGGAGAGCCTTCACTTTCTTGGTTGGGCTTAGGGTATAGGTGTTTAGGGTTGAACAACCAGGTCTATTTCGGGGTACGTAGTGGAAAGTCTTCCCCCTCATGCAAGTAAGAAAGACCTGTTGCGGGATATTGTGGATGAAGTTCCCAAAACACAGTTCGCAATTTGCACTTCTTTAGCCCTGCCGCGCGCAGGTGCGACTGCTCTTAGCATTGATGTTCAGGATCGCTTCCCCCTGCTCCACGAGTTAGGGTTGATTCATTAGGAGCATCCTTTGCAGTCTTGGGTTTCTAGCTGGCTGCAGTATATCTTACAACACCATGTGTTCCGCTACTTTGCGAAAAGAGTAGGCAGAGCAGTGGGCGAACTAAACCCTAAACCCCATAAACCCTGAACCCTAAGCGGTTCCGACTCCTGGCGGTCCCCACAACATAGTAAGGTGGCATCCTTTGGCTTGCATAGGATCCAGTTCCAAGGAGAGTCTGGAAGGGAAGCTTGAGCACAAGGAAAAGCTCAAGAGACAATGTGTAAAGTAATCTGCCTGAATCCCAAAACTATGTAGAAAAATGTTGTTTTATTGCTATCTTGAGGGATGTTGGGCTAGTATTCGACCTACTTTTGGAGGTCCAGGCAGACTCCAACAATCCTTTTGCTGGAGGAGGGTTGCTTAGATTGGCTTTCATTTAGCCTCCTGCGTGCCAGATATTTAACACCTCTTTGATGCGATGCTGTTCTGCTTCTTCGCACAATTGCAGATGGCAGCCGGCCTTGGTTCACTTCATCCATGCTAGCTGCAATCAGTGAGTCGCTTCATCCTCAGCAGCAGTGTATCTTGGTTGGGGACTAGCTGAGGAGCAGCGACATTGTCAGCTACCTCTACACCACTTATGAGGCGGAACTAGGATTTAAGGTTTAGGGTTTCTGGTTTAGGGTTGAGGGATCTAGGGTTCAGGGTTTAGGCTTAGGGTTTGGAGTTCGGGTTTCGTGTGTAGGGTTCAGGGTTTAGCCTGCCGCATTGCGTCAAGTTGAGCGATCAAGCACACCTTCGAGCTAGACCTAGTGAAAGGTAAGGAGTCCATCAATTGTGTAAACCCTTAACCCTATATGATAGTTTCAGTTTTCTTTTCCATTATACTTATATCCCGACATAATCCTTGCATGGTTATGTATCGCTTTTGACATGACCCCTGAAGATTTCCTCCATATTGGAGAGTTAACTTGATAAACCCCTAAATCCCCCACATCCCCAAAATCCCCCTAAGCCCTAAATCCTAAACCCCATAAGCCCTAAATCCCCTAAACGCCCCAAATCCCCCTAGGCCCTAAATCCTAAACCCCATAAGCCCTAAATCCCCTAAATGCCCC